TAATTTAACAATAAATTTAATTAATAAATAAATGACACGCTCACTTAGCACGGTGAATATGCGGTAAGCACCCCCCCAGACATCACAAAGGCTCATTTCCGTCTGTCTGTCCTTGACTTTTTAATAACTAGGTTAGTACCGTTCGGATTTTTATGAAATTTTCACAGAAAATTGTCACTATACCAACGACGAAAATATTTTGTAGTTTCTGAAAATCGCTGTAATGGCGGCGCAACTAACGGTAAAAATACGACAAGAACTATAATCGCCCGTTTTTTGATGTGCGGTACTATCGGTCGGGTAGGGAAAGTATGTCTATGGACTAATTGTATGAACCTGACTTGATCAGTTTAATTGTCATATTTTTGATACCGAAGTACATGTTCGTAACTAACTTTTTTCTCAGATGGTTTAACCTGTGCTGAACTGTGTTGCGTGAGAAATGCAGAATCAACCTACTTGACGCGATTTTTTATTTAATATTAAAGGGACCCTTAAAAATTATGTCCGAGTTTCTAAGGGTCCGTGGTTGAAAAATGTTGAGAAACACTGATCAAGTGGACAAGTACAACACGATCCACCACTTTCATATGTATTCAATGTTACGGCTCGCAATGTAAATAAAATCTAACGAGCACATCCAAAATCACACTCTACTGAAACCGGAATCAAATTTTTCCATACACCTCGAAATAAATCGTACTGTCACAGTAAGGTCTAAGCTATTTTCTTTTAGATTGACAAGTTATCCTTGCTCGACTTCCTGATTTCCTTCTTTTTCTGATTCCTAGATATTGCCAGAAGGGCAACCAGACTTCCCAGATTCGACTGAACCACATTAGACAGTGACTTGTGCTCAAAACGTCTCCCCTGTTATCAACATGTTCACTTTGGAGCTGTATTTTATTTTCGCCTATTTCCAAATAACCAATATCCACCAGAGCCCTTAAAAAATCCATCTCATGGCAGAAAAATCCCCCCATCGTCTTATTACTATGTAAATGAATTCAATTAACCACAGAAAGCTAAGTGCAACTACTTGCAAAGCAAGACAGAAGTGTCCCAATCACAGCATATACAATATTGCACATCATTGTGACTTTTTAAACATTACGAAGAAATGTTTAACGAATTTCTTAAGGCTGCTAGACACAGTGCCGGCGGCAGGGCCACCGGGCAAGCCGCCGGCTAAGCCTCCGTACACCCGGCGGCATACAAAGCCGCCGGCCTTGCCGCGCAAAGGAGCCGCCGTGGTGTGCCGGCGGGTTACGCGGCTTGCTGGCGTCACTCCGTTCCTGGCATTCGAGAGGTAGTGTTGTGCGGTTTGTGAGTTTGTGTGTTTAAACAAATTAAAATGTCGTTTAATTGGGACGACGAAGCTGTGCTGCTCTTAATTGAAAAATTTCATGAAAATGATATATTATGGAATCCCAAAAATGCAGACTATAAGAATAGGAACAATCGAATGGACGCATTGAACATAATTGCAAGTGTATTTGACATTGATAAAGGCGAAGTAGAGAGAAAGTTAAAAAATGTAACCTCGTATTATTTTCGGGAAAAAAAGAAGTTCGAACAGTTGCACAAATCTGGTGCAGGCATAGACGATGTACAGAAACCCAAAAAACATGCTATTGCGCAAACGCTGACACCCCACATCATCTTTTTTATACTCTTCTATCATTACAGTACCGTTCCGCCATTTTCTATTTTGTAAACTTTGGTGCAACCAAAACCTTCTCGTCCTTTTGTATTTTCTTCTTATTAAAATAAAAATTACAACTGCGCCGGCTGTGCTGATGATTTCCTTATTCATTTTAACCAACCAACCATAAAATATGCACTCCATTAGCGTTCTATGTGACTGTCACAACCGGAATGATGCTTGGCGGCCTTGCGCGGCTTGTATTGCCGACGGCATAGCCGCTCGGCATAAACCCGGCGGCATTGCCGCCGGCTTGTGTGTAGTAGCTTTTAAAGCTACTACACAAGCCGCGCAAATCCGCCAGGCATCATTCCGGTTGTGACAGTCACATAGAACGCTAGTGAAGTGCAACACACAAACCGCACAACACTACCTCTCGAATGCCAGGAACGAAGTGACGCCGGCAAGCCGCGTAACCCGGCGGCTCCTTTGCGCGGCAAGGCCGGCAGCTTTGGGTGCGCGGCGGCTTGCCCGGCGGCCCTGCCGCCGGCACTGTGTGTAGCAGCCTTTAGACATCAAGAGTCTCGCAGACGCTGCGTTAAGCTATCATATGTTGCTGTGCGACACGGCTAAAGCTGTGTAATTACCTGCGAGGTGCATATTTGAAAAAAGAAATATCACGAATAGTGATTTTGGCAAGTAGCAAATATCCGACCACGCCCTTGGTCAATTCGTGAATAAACGGACTGCAAATATGCGGTAACGATTTTATATTAGTAGATATAAATTTCATGAGAGATAGGAAAAATGGGCGCTGGTATCGAACCCACATCTCCTCCATTTCGTGAAGTCTACAGCACCCGTAACAGATAAATACGATCCTACCCACGCCACTGTTCCTTCGCCTCTTCAATCTGATCGGTTACACGGAATGGAGGAGATGCGGGGCCCATTTTTACTATCTCTCAAGTTGTTATTTATTAACCTTCATAAGCCCGTGGTCAAAAACTTACATTAAGTAACGAGAGGGGTGTAAATGTACCCCAAAATTTTTTTAATTTGTGATAAATAAAAAAACGCATTTGGAAATAATAATATGAAGTCATTAAGATAGAAAAATATACTATATAAGAATCTGTGACATTTTAAATAATAATTTAATTATTACACTTGTTACAAACTGTTTCATGTTCTGCACATACAGTAATGGACAAAAGTATATAGACAAGTTAATATTGTGCTGTATTTCTTTTTTAACTTGTTTTATTAATACAACAACCTAATTTGTTATAGCATAATACTCACTTATACATAAATAAATTCATTAGACTCCCTTCAATAAAAAATTAATTGAAAAAAACTGGAGCTATGAAGGACAAAAATACAGGTATATGTATAGACAAAGCAAAACAATTTTAGAAAAAAGAAGCAAAGTTCATTGAATTATAGAAAACCAACCATGTTTGTGTTAATATTTTGTAGCATAACCATCTCCGCCTGGCATCGTCTCGGCATAGATTGTAAAAGTTTCTTGATATGAGATTCATCAATCTGTCTTCACTTTTGCTCTAAAGCGGCAAAAAGTTCACCCTTGTTTGAATAATTTTTATCTCGTATTTGCTTATTTAAGTATTCCCATAGATTTTCAATGGGGTTTATATCGCGAGACTGTGAAGGCCATTTGAAAACTGGTATTTTTTCATCCAGAAAAAATGTCTTTGCGAGATTTGAAGTGTGCTTCGGGTCATTATTTTGCTGGAAGATTAATCTTAAGGGCATATTGTCTTCCATATATTGTAACATGACATGCTTTAGTGTGTCTGTTTATACAAACTTATTCATAATGTCATCTATTCTATGTAAAGATCCCATCCCAAACCCCGAAAAGCACCCCCAAACCATAACAGACCAGTGGGTAAAGTGTACTTGGAGTTCAATATGTGTTCAGTAGGACGTCTAACTAATGAACACCATCTGATCGTCACTGAAAGATACCCTCTTCCAGTCACAGATGTTCCATTCAAGATGCAACCGTGCAAATTGTAATTGGTCCTTACGGTTTTTCCTCGAGATTAGCGGCTTCTTACTCGGGCGACGTACAAATAACTTCAAATCATTTAATATTCTACTTATAGTTTTCGTAGAAACACTGACAACTCCTTTTATCTCGATTTCAGCTTTTATTTGTCTTGGGGTTTTAAACGGATCTTTGGACGGAACTACTTTTATTAATCTGATCTAGCATTCAGTTTTCTAGGCCGACCACTTCTCTTAGAGGCTTCCAAGATACCTTTTTGTTCAATATTGCCCAGACTGCTTTACGCTTCAGCTTCAAATTTTTGGCAATGTCGCGTTGACCATCTTTGTATAACTCAATGATCTTAGTTTTCACATCGAAAGAAATTTCTGGACCACGCGGCATAGTCAAAATCACTCAACTTATTCCACAATACTTGATGAACACAAACTAATCCTCTTCTGACACGAAACTGTAAACTAATGTTGAAAAAAATTTGTCTAAATATTTTCGTCAATCATAAAATAGTGCTTATATTCTGACTTGTATTGTGTTCATTGCAGATAATGTAAAAACAAGGAATTTAGTTTTTCTACTAATAACGCATTTGTTTATGGAGCAATGAAGTATGGATTCGTTTTCTAAAGGTATTTAGGTAAATATTCATATTTGTCTATATACAAAACTTTCGGGATTTCCCGTTTTTATGGCTGTCGCTGATGTCTGCCAATAACGGGAGCAGGTTGTTCATTACTTTCACTTGATTCTGATAAAATGGTTAACATTGTTTTATATTGGAATGTAGAAGCTTGTCATTATGGTACCTACGAATTATAGTTTTCTTTATTAATTGTTGGCCCAACTTCAACAAAAACAATATTCTTCTATCCAAACGATTTTTTCCAATCTGGATTTTTCATCGCCCATAGCTTATAGGCGTTTTGATGCCACCAATGTTCAGTAGATGGAAAAATATTGCCATCGGCCACTCACACTCTTTCTTTGAGTCGTGATTTCCTTTGCCAATTTATCTGTTGTATGCACTGCACCCTTTGCCTTGTTATAGTGTGAAATGTTACATACCGAGCGGGCTGCAGCTGAACCCCAAGGCACAAAAGTCACTATAACTTGTTACAATAAATAGCAATTTCATTGTTAATCTGAGTATTAATTTCAGATATGTTAATGCGACTACATTTATATTTAGTTATCATGATCAGAGCCTTTGTTTTAACCAGATTAAGCTTAAGTGAATTAAGTTTCATATGGTTATCGATCTTATCCAAAACAATATTTGTCTTGTAAAGAACGAAGTGCCAATAAAAATGATACGTAAAAATGTATCTGTCATCGCCCGATGGAAGAGAAAACAGCGGATATATGTTATGGGTGAAAGCGAAATCGGTTGCTGTGAACAAATACTTAAAAAATTCAATTTCATACATCACAACTGACCTCTGGAAGGTTTTAATGGCAATGATTGTAGGTAGAAAATATTGATTTCTGAGCAATAGGGTGTCCTCTTCTTCACCGTTTGGTATTCGACCTAATAGTTTGCAATATTCGGTCGAATACCGAATAGGAAATGGTAAACGAACATTCGTGGCGTCTTTATTCTCTACCAGAGTCGCGCTGCTGTGTAATTATCGTATACGCTGTGGGGCAATCTCGAGGCACGTGTATTTTTTTCTCGACGCTCATCAAATTAGAGCTGATAAACAGTCGGTCGCATGCAAATTTAACGAGTTAACTTCTTTAGAAGTATCGTCGAACGACGAAGTTCGTTAAGGGAATTGACTCGCTTTATTTTGAAACAGCTCACCGCAATTATGCCTTACTCGCTACAGGGTCGTCTCGTTAGACAAAAGAGGATAGGCATGGTACCTAAAGGGTCGTATTGGCGAAAATGAAAGATGACCGACAGGGAGTGAGTTAATTTGAATTTTTGGTATTTTCAGCTTCACACATGACGTCGACTGAAATTTTCTTTCTAAAAATTTCCGTAATTCCACTAATGATGGTTCTGAAAATGGATTCGATATGTTTTATCGATGTTATAAACTATCATCGAAAACTCAAAACATCCCCTAGTTGATGAAGAAGCAGATTTTCGAGCAGGCCACATTGCTGACTACCTCATCAGCCTTAATTATTTACTTAATATATTAGGTACATCAAACAGAGAAAACCTCTTAAATAGACATCGGAAATACAGGGTCCGCCAAAGGAACCTGACGTTTTCAGAATGGATAGTACGAAGCTGTTTTTTGACGTAGAACATCGGTTACAGTGGGCAAGACATCGGTAGTAGATGCCATTTTAGTAGTCATGGAGCTGTGGACAAGTGAACGTCGCGCATTTGTTGTCGAGACGTATTTTAAAAATCACGACTCGGTGATCATTACACAGCGTCTATTTCGTGCGAACAGCGGTGCAGCAAAGTCCACGTCGTTCAGCTAGGCTACAAGCAATTAATCTAAGGCTTTCAGAAACAACAGTGCGGCGTATTTTGCATAAGGATTTACATTATCACCCTTACAAATTAGCGATGGTTCAAGAACTGACAGCTGAAGACTTTGTGAACCGTTTGACTGCAAGCAACCAGCTTCTGGAACTTTTGGATGAAAACGCTTTAGGTGGCTTAATTATATCTGATGAGGCGCATTTCGAGTTATCAGGCTACGTAAATAAGCAGAATTTTCGCTACTGGTGTACAGAAAACCCGAGAGAACTTCACCAGCGAACCCTTCATAGTCGCAAGGTTACTGTTTGGTGCGGAATGTCGCGATTCGGCATAATTGGACCCTATTTTTTTGAGGACGATGCTGGAAATACTGTCACGGTCAATTCGCAACGTTATCGGGAAATGTTAACACATTTTTGGAACCAGAGCTTCGTCGACGGAACATAGATTTAAATACTGTATGGTTTCAGCAAGATGGCGCCACAGCGCATACAGCACGAGCAACAATGGTTCGACTGCGAGAAATGTTTCCAGGAAGAGTCGTTTCGCGGAATGGAGATGTTCCTTGGCCGGCAAGGTCTCCCGATCTCACGGCTTGTGACTATTGGTTATGGGGTTATCTCAAAAGCAAGGTATATTTAACGAGCCCAAGGACCATTGAAGAATTGAAGGAAAACATTCGCAATGAAATTAGCGCGATTCCGATGAGTATGGTACAGCGCGTAATGGGGAATGTGCGAAACCGTTTGGAAGAGTGTGTCCGCAGTGAAGGACATCATTTGACCGAAGTTATTTTCCATACATAAAATGGCATGTAATACACTTTCGATTACTTATATATGAAAATAAATATCTTGAAAGATACATTTGTAGTTTCATATTGAAACTCATCAGGTTCCTTTGGCGGACCCTGTATATAGTTAAACATAGTAAGTTATTTATAATCTACATGCATGAAAATATAGGGGTATAATATTCAGCTCAGGAAAAATAATGATAAACAGAAAATGGAACGTACCTTACTAGGGAGAGATCAACATTTTTGCATTCGTATTAGTGGAGAGTTTAAACCAATACTAGTTCTTCAAAAGGGAATATTGAAGTACGTACAGAGCCTATCGGTATATTTATATCAATTTTCAATAAAAGGTACGAATAGTCAATTTGATTGTTCAAGATTTTACGAAGATAACATAAATCAGATCAGATCAGATTCTTTTAGCCAGAGGTAATATTTTAAAACGCTCCATTACTAAGCTGTAATTATGATTATGGACAATGTTGTTCTCCTTATAAGTCAGAAATCGCAAGACTATGCTGAACAGACTAAAGCCAAGCACGTTTTATCTATGGTTTCATCTATATGGTTATTGAAGCGCCATTTCATATCTACTGTAATACCCAGTTCTCGAATATTGTTCACAAGATTAATTTTGACATTATCTATCTGGTATACATACTGGAATAGGTTTGTTTTCTCGTAAATGCGATTTAGATGCATCTTTTAGTATTAAGTGGCAGCTGCAACTCTTAATATGTCTGCATAGCAAATAAATATATTTGTCTGTGGTTTTCAGTTTTTCACCATTTTATTAGAATCATTATGCACTTTCTGATCAATATAAAAAATTATATCGTTGTATTCTCAATTTCCGAAAAAATCTAAAAATAGTTCACAAAGCGCCATGTAGCGTTTAAGAACTGAACAAATCTGACTAGATTCAGCATTGATTAGGAGTGCAGGTGGATACTCGTTCAAACGAAATCAAGATCGTCAAAATCGGTGCAGTCAAACAGAAGTTATGTGAGTTTTTCTGAAATGACATTTAACCCTTCCTCCACCCTAAAGATATGAGAAAATGGCAACAAAAAGTTCGGAAATTGAGCGATCGTCACGAAAAGGCTATTTAGTGAGTAGCTCTTGATCGATAGCTCTAGGTTGAGCGGCGGCCGAGGTATAGCTGGCGTCCTTTGTTACTGGCGCATCTACTGTACATAATAAAAAAAACACCCTAGACATTTTAACTGTGATAAATGCGTGAGGTTTCATCTATATTTCGTAGCTCATACTTGAATTCAGCTGATCATATTATGTGCCAAAATACCATATACATGAAAAATATAGCTATTCTGAGATACACCATAGTCAGCTTCCATAAAAGGTATTAAGCATTAATACTAGAGCATTTAATTCCTAACAAATAGTTAACTATTTGAAAATGAAGATGTCTGACAGCTGTTTGGAAAATAAAAATGTCAATGGGTGTGGTCGCACGTGTCGGCATGCGACGTATGGAGAAACGCTAACACAAGTAAATAATTCATAAGCCCCCTTGAACAACTGTCACCTCTTGGGATTCAAGAAGACTGCTTATGATCATATTTTTTCGGTCTGCCACTTCGGCTGTACCTTCCCTCAGGACCTTACAGAAAAAGAGCGGCCAGTATTTCTTCCAGATAATTTTTGATGTAGTGCTTTCAGATGTAACGCAGGTTTATTAAAATATATAGCGAATTTATTTATACTCCTAAAAAACTTTTTTGTGTAATTTAGTTTTATCTCCTCTTTTATGTCGTAATACATAAATAACCTTTTATAGAATGATCCGCATCAAAAAGAAATCAGTATCTTACAATTGTTTATGCATTTTTTTTGGGAGGGATGCTCACTTTCTTTTTTTATACCGAAGCAGCCCCGTAGACTGAAGTCCAAATGCCGGGACACCTCGGCTGCTATGATGATCCTAAAGAATTTTTGTTAATCCCAAGGTTAGTAGAACTTGTAAAAGCTTCCTCTGATAGATTGTTCCACAACCTCGATACCCTCGGAACAAAGGAGCGGTCGTATCGGCAAGTTCTGGATGTACCAAGTTCGACACGGTCAGGATGGAAGGCCAAAGTAAGGCGGGTCTGTCTGGCAGGCACATCGCACGGCGTCATCATGAAAGAAAGCTCTGAGGAGCAAGGCCCGTTGGTGAAGCCTTAGAAGAGAGCCAGATCGCCGACACCCCGCCAGTGTGAAAGGGCCTCGAGACTGTCTGTTAGAGCAGAGTCATCGATCAGCCCAAAACGTGTGAGCAATACTCGAGGTTAGGCCTAGGTCATGCGGAGTAAAGTACTTCTTAGCCGTAAACAAATATCATAGCTCCTCGCGCCAGATCAACTCCTCGGTGATCTGGACTTTGACCAGCCGAAATGAACGGCTCTTTGGCAGAACTTGGCCATCCATCAAAACCGGATGAGCGGTAGGACGTTTTTTGTTCGTCAAGGTACAGTACTGTGTTTTGGAAGCATTAAACTGTACAAGATTGTTGCGTCCCCAAGCAGTGATAACCTCCAGGCCTCTCGTCAGAGAGGAAGTCGTCGCTAGTCTCCTTTTTTCCAGCTCAGAGGCAGAGATCGGCTTGTCACTCCAAATTCTTGCGTGTGGAGTGCTGTCATCAGCGAAGCAGCGAAGCTGTCTGTCGTAGTCAAGACCGACTTCGTTATATTTGTTTCTGGACTAGACGTCGTCTTGTCTGCTCTCTAGAGTGGAGTTTTGTAATAAGGTTTTGTGTGCCTTGATCTTCTGCCGGCGAGCAGTGTCACACCATTTGATAAACCAGCCGTTGGACCCTGGTTTAGGCACTTTCACTGTATGAGGGATGTATTCCTCCATTCCGAAGTGGATAATTTCAGTTATCGAAGACAGCTGACGCATCCACATCAGTGAAATAGACATCTCTCCAAAAAAAAGTAGAGAAGGAGTCCCTGAGCCCCTCCCATTCGACATGTCCGTAATGCGAAATTTTGCAGCCTGTCTGACCGAAACCAAACGTCCACAACACCGTAGTCTGATTTAGCCAGAGGGGACAGGACTACAAGGGACAGGATCCGTGGTAAAAAAGAGATTCAGCAGGCTACTGGCATGTGACGAGACCCGGGG